TAGTAACGCGTTCATACTTGGCGAACAACGGCTGAGATACCATTCGGGCATGTGGTAGGAGGTCTGTGCGCGACATCGCGCCATCTTGTTGTTCAAATTGCCCGCCAATTTGGGACGAGCTGTCCCCTTCAAGCCACTTGGCAACGTGACCACGCAAATGCTGCCCGATTGCCCAGCGCAGTCTCCCATTTGGCGCGCATTTTTGAACTTCAGGTGGGCGCGATGTCGCGTGGTGACTCTCGTGCTACCATCCGTAGTGTTCAAGTTGACGACTCTGGGAGTGAATTATTCATTCTTTTGTATTTTTTCAGTGAAGGTTTATCCAAGGCGCCAATCGGTTATCGATCATCACATTGACGATCCTTTTAGCTAGCTCCTCCGGGCAATAATGATCAGCCAAGTCAGGTGCCGAAATATGGCCCCATCGCCACAGATAGTGCTTGGAAACCGTTTTGCTCTTGTTCTGAAGGCGCGCTTTCACTATCCGTAATGGTGAAGTATGTTTGCTTCATACAGTAAGACTTTCTTTTGTGTTAGGAATTCTTATCATATCGTTATCAGTAGGGTTCCGACAGCCTAGCACGTTGTTTGAAGCCGGAAACGCTTCTGTGACAAAGGCTGACGGGGTGTTAGGTGGGTATCGTAAATTTGGAACAAAGTTCGCCAGGTGATGGTAGGGTCACGAGTTTTTGCTTGCGTTTTTTGTCGAGGCTATCTATTTTTACCCAAAATTTGCTGAGGTTGTTGATAGTACCTTTTGTCTGCCGTGGCCCAGGTGAGTGTGCAGTGCAAAATTAGCAACATGACCGTGGCTAAAAATATTCACCAGCATCAAAAAACACATGTGACGTCGATTTTTGAGGCCTCAGCCACCTGAACTGCTGTAGCAGCAGCAAAAAAGGGGGCCCTTTCGAAAAAGTCAGTAGAACATGTGGTTTTTTCATGCTATAGGTTACGGTATACACCCTATGTTCCTGAACTTGTAATCTTTTCAGCTTGTGACGGAATGGGTTAGGCTGAGGTTACTGTCTATCGCCGTGTCACCCGTATGCTTCCGAAATGCACAATCTCCCAGGGTACCGTACACTATCTCAAGCAGTTGACTAGTTTATGACCCTGGTTCGCAATTATGGTTTCCCTTGATGACAACCTGAAATTAATATATCATCCAAATCAGTTTCTTCAGAAATAGAGTAGGTCAACTGTGAACGAAGCGGATTCTGGTTTCACCCAGGTTGCCATGTGGGTGAATTTGAACCCCGACAATCCACCTAGAAGTTCGCGTCATTGTTGTAGGCGGTGTAGGGTTGGGGTGGAGCTAGGGTAACTACTGACATATCTGCTGCAGCCGCTGAAAAGTCCTGTTATGGCTAAATGACGAAATTGTTTTGTTC